CCTCCTCCGGGTTTTTTTTCCCAAATTATTCTGAGTTTTGGTCCACATTGTTCTCCCTCTCTGTCCAGGATCTCCTACATAGATCCCCCTCTGAGTGATTGACAGTGGTGGCTAGGCACCATCTAGTTCTTCTGGTCTCATAGTTGTATAGGTTGCGGATCGCGTGGTGTACCAGTTGCTAGGACTGATTGTTTCCATGAATCTTTGGTTCTCTTCATTCTTCTTTGCTGTGGATGAGGAGAGACCCATCACTGCATCTAGATGGCTGATTGCAAGCTTTTAAGATCCCAGTTGCTACTTGCCAAAGTAGGAGGTGGAACAATGTTTTGTGTAGTATGCTATGCCAATTTAACTTGATGTCCCCTTGAGCAGGAGTTCTTAATTTGGGGTCTAGACATTCAAGGAAGTCTACAAGTCTCCCTGAAATTGGACACAGATGGTTGTATATATGTGTGATTGTATATTTGTTTTAGTTTTCAGTAGATTACTTGTAGAGGGAGTGTGATCCCCAAACGATTATGAATCACTGTAATAGATGAAAGGAGTTCTAGTGGTGCAGTGGTTAAATCATTCAGCTGCTAACCAGAAGGTTGGCTGTTTGAACCCGTCAGCTGCTCCAGAGGAGAAAGATGAGGTAGTCTGCTTCCATAAAGATTTACAGCCTTGGAAACCCTTTGTGAGCAGTTCTGCTCTGTTCTAAAGGGTTGCTGTGAATTGGAATCAATTCGATGGCAATGAGTTTTTGGGGCAGTAGGTGATTACCCTTTGCCAGTACAGAACTCTCTGTTTCACTCTGATTGTGCAGACATGCCCAGCAAAACTTGATTTCTAAAAATTGCAGTTTCATTTAGAGTCAGAGGTTAAGACTGATCTTAGCTTTCATCAGTCACCAGGATGAAGGCCAACTCTGCAAGAGATAAGAAGTTAAATTCATCCTAGGACCTGAAATATAATAAAAGACATTTTCAAAACTGCTGATTCACCTCCTAATAGTCACTATTTACATTTTTCTATTATTTTTCTAAACCTCATCTGCATCAGACACTTTAAAGTAGATAGAATAATATCTGCTTTTCATTGTTTGTAAGGATTATATAAAATAAGGGGTTGAAAGCTCAGTGGAATGTCTGGCCCTCAGGGAGTGCCACGACGTGGTGGGCATCATTTTCATTCATCTTCACGACTGAGCCTCAGCTGCACCCTCTTTCCCTTTTGCTGGATTGCTTGAATAGACTACCTGTTGGACTCTTTGCCTTGCACATCTTTGTTTCTTTAGTTCATCTCCACAGGTCAAAGGAGATACCTTTCTGAAATAATAGTCTGTGTCATCTTCCTGCTTTTAAAGACCCTTGGTTTAGAGAGCCTTAGTCACCCAAGTTTCCAGGGTAAAAGTCCAGATTCTTTAGCCTGGCACATTCTATCCCTGTGTCCAGAACAACCACTGGCAGATAAGTGACATGACTGAAGGTAACTCAGCCTAGTGATAGGAAGTGATGTTGGCGGGACTTAGTGACTGGCTGGATTTGAGGTTGAGGGAGAGAAGGATCAGCGTTTGATGCCCACGTTTGTGGTTGGCATGACTAAATGGACTGCAGCATCCAAACCAGATTACTCGTGAAGAGAAGGAATTGGGAGAGGAAAAGCGTTGAGGTGGTGGAAGGAGAGGATGAGTCCAATTTAGCATTTGTTGAGGTTGAAATGCTGGTGAGATAATCTTGAGGATGTTTTACCAGGCAGACCGGATCATGTTAGTTAGTGCATCTTCCCAGCTCTGAGGTAGAATGGCCATCAGATGGTGTCAAAAAACACTTTTGTATATCTCCTGTGCCAGGTACTTGGCAAGCCTTTGATAGTCATAGCTCATTTAAGCTTCATCTTATCCCTTTGAGATAGTTATCATTATCCCCATTTTACAGATGAAGAGCCTGAAGTGTTAGATTAGCATGGTAGTTAACAGTGTTTCTATGCTACATTTGTATAAAGTAACACCAAATTTCCTGCGAGATCATGGTGCCACCTGAAGTGAATGTCAGAACTTCAGGATTCCAGGCCCCACTGCAGTCAGAACCTTCAGGAAATGGGCCTGGGAATCTGCATTTTTAATAAGCAGGGTAAGTGATCCGTAAGCTTAGGCAGGTCTGGCAAGGGCTGGTCTCGGTGCCACCTGTGCACTCACGGACCCGTGCTCTCAGCCCCTGCACTACGCTGCCTCTCTGCTGCAGAAGCAGGTGTTTTGATCAGGGCTTGGGTAACGCTTTTTATCAGCTCTGATCTTTGTGGTTTGTGGAAGGGTACCATTTTATGAGAGAGCAGGAGATTTGAAAAATACCTTGCCATCCTGCCATAATAGATATTTTATTAGAGATTTGGGGAAGGAAATTAACATCTATTAAGTGTTAACTGGCAGTTCTCTCAGCAATACGCAAACGGGCCTTGGCTACATTTATCTAAGGTCATCGGTCTGCTAAATGGCTGAGCCGAGCTTCAGATCCAGAAGTGTCTGAGAGTAAAAATAGGTAACACTTAGTGCTTACTATGTCACTAGGCTTTTACATGCATTCACTCATTTGATCCTCACAGCAATCCTATGGAGGACATTTATTATTTCCATTTTACAGTTGAGGAAACTGAAGCACATGGAAGTTAACCTGTTCAATTCCACACACTTATGAACTGTGGAGCCAGGCTGTGGACCCAGGCCTTCAGCTGCCAGAGTCCATGTGTCTCACCAATGTCTGATACCACTTTGCCCCTGACTCTTGTTCTTTTCGTTTTTGTATTATTTAGCATGAGGAACTTATTTTTTAAACCACGAAGAATTTATATAGTGTTAATGTAAATTAGTATGAGATGGATTGACACAGTGGCTGCAATAATGGGTTCAAACATAGCAACGATTGTGAGTGTGGCGCAGGACTGGGCTGTATATTGTTCTGTTGTCCATAGGGTCGCTGTGAGTTGGCACTGATTCCACAGCATCTAACAACAGCAACAAATGAGTATAGAAGCTAGGGTGCTGCTTCTGGTATGCCTGGAGATGACGCAATTTCTTTTACTTCTCTCCTAGGTCAAACATGCAGTGCAGTACAAGGAGAATGGGCATCATAACTGACGTCCATCGGCGATTCCTCCAGTTGATGATGACTCACGGGGTGTTAGAGGAGCAGGATGTTACACGCTTGCAGAAGCACTGCTACAAGGTCCATGACCGTGAGTACTGTCTCCCTGTTCCCAGGGGGCCCTGGTACTGTGCTTATCAGGGACTGGCAACACTGGCGTAATAGCTACCACGTCGATATTCCTGATGTGAACGTCAAATCTCTTCTCTTCATGGTTTTATACCCATTTATCTTCCTCATCTCATTTCTTACTGTTTTTTTTTTTTTTTTTGAATAAACTTGTCATTTAGCCCAATGGATAAGAGCTTGGACTCTGAGGCTGTATAGTTTTGGCTCACACCAAGGGTCCAGTACCTGCTGAAACCTCAGTTTCCTCATGTCTAAAGTGGGCCTAGGGAGCTCTGGTAGCATAGTGCCTAAGGCATTTGACTGCCAACCAGAAAGCTGGCGGTTCAAATCCACCAGCCACTCCTCAGAAGGAAGGTTGGGCAATCTCCTTCTGTAGTGATACCGCCTCAGAAACCCAAGGAGGGGTTGCTATGAGTCGGATCCGACTCGACGGCAGGGAGTTTTAGTAAAGTGGGCCCTAATAATCGTATTTGACACATAGGTTAATTCAGAGGATTGGGAGACATGGTGCATCCAAAACACCTGGTACAGAGATGGTGTTCAGTTGGCTGTTGATGATGGAAAGAGGGCAGCTCAACACAGTGGTCAAGGACACAGCCTTGAACAAAACCAAACCTGGAGAGAGTGCTGTCTCTACCCACTGCCAGTTGTGGGCATTTGGAATACCTTCTTGGGGTTATTGGGAGGAATCAATGAGATAATGAGATACATGTTAGAGACTGGGCCTGTTGCCTACTAATCAGTCAATAACTGGAGCTATCAATAGAAGTAGATCAGTGTTGATAGATCAGTAGAATCAATATGGATGGATCTCAAAAGCATATTCTTCAGTGAAAAACAAAGTTGCTAAGTTATATTTACTGTGTGATGTAATTTTGTTAATTTTTGTGATGCACAAAATGAATGTCATTGCTTGTGAATGCCTGCATATGCATGTGAATGTATAAAACTGGGCTGGAAGGATATGCAGTGCTCTTATGAAGTGCATGCCTTTGGGGAGAGGAGGGGAAATGGGTTTTCATTAGAAGTCAAAGCACTTCAGCTTTATCATGTTCTGGCCTTTTATTAAAAATGTCATTATTAGCATAGTCTTATGGTTGTCACTTCTGATTATTGGGAACACAGGTGTTTTTATTTTGTATTTTTTTCTTTCTTTCTATATTTTTAATTTTCAGAAGAAAAATGGAAAAATATCAGATGAGCTAAACCAAGAGGAGTGAGAAGAGGTGGTGGGGGTGGAGGGTGCAAAGTATACAGGTGAAGGGAAACGAGAAAAGATGCCATACTTAGAGACCTGCACTTTCTGCGGCGTGGTAGAGGCAGGAACCGGATCCCAGAGGGCTGGGGGGGGGTGAATGGGAGTAGAACGTAGGTGGCAGTGAGGGTAGATACACACTCTTTCAAGATGAGCCAAAGAAGGAAGAACAAGCGGTGGCCTGCTGGAGAAGAGGCAGAGCATGTGACTGGAGAGTGGGGTTCCCGCCATGTGTTCATCCGAACGCTGGTCCCTTGAAGAAGTTTCCATGAGAAACTTTAGGAGCTTCATGATACACATTAGCCAGTTAAAGGCTTGGACGGGTTTCCTACAGTTAAGGAACCTGTTCGACTCTGTTTAATTCTGTAACATACCTCCTAAACCCTAGACAGGAATATAAGATTTATGGAAAGAGAATAAGTTCTCTTGATTTGTAGGTTTATAGATCATGGAGAACCCTGTACAGCAGAGTTTTACTCAATCCTATGGACAGTGCAGACTTCTTGAGAGATTTAAATGAGAAAAGTGACGTAATTAGTGCTGTGTTTAAAATCGTCCCTCTGGTGAAATTAAATCTGCTATACTAAGGCATTTGACTGCTTACCAGAAGGTTGGCGGTTCAAACCCACCAGCCACTCTGTGGAAGGATGACAGGACAATCTACTTCTGTAAAGATTTTCCACCTCAGAAACCCAGTGGGGGGTCACTGTGAGTTGGAATTGACTGGATGGCAGTGGGTTTGGTTTCTTTGGTTTTATAACTGCATGACCTGTGGTGGATCAGATTGGGATCTTTGTGAGAGACGCCTTTGTGGAAGGGGAATGTCATGGGTGTCAAGCTAGTGTCTTTTGTTCTTTAAAAACCCACCCCACCACTTTAAGCCTGCCCTTCAGGATCCTGAGATGGCATGAAATGTTTGCTTTTTAGTCTTTTATCTACGTGACAATTCGTTCTTTCTCACTTTTATAGTCCTCCCCTTTTAGCTTCCCTTTTAAGTCCTAAGCTTGAATTTTAATGTTGATGGGGAGTTTCACAGCTCACTACAAAGAGCCAGATGATACCTCAGACTAAGAATGAAAGTGTTTTTGCCTTTATTTGACCTTTAAAGTTGTTATGATCTAATTTAGGAAAGTCCTGTAGATTGTGTCTAGGAATTGATTTATTCTTCACAGTTTTTGTGCCATTTCTGTGCCTCAGGATAGGGTTATGGCTAGGTTATATGTAGGAGACCTGGTGGCATAGTGGTTAAAGCGCTTAGCTGCTAACAAAAAGGTCAGCAATTCGAGCCCACCAGCTGCCCTGTGGAAGAAAGATGCCACAGTCTGCTTCTGGAAGACAACCTTGGAAACCCTATGAGGTAGTTCTGCTCTGTCCTGCAGGGTTGCTGCCATGAGTTGGAATTGACTCAGTGGCAGTGTTTTTTTTTTTTTTTTTCTTTTAAGGATATATGTGGTATAACTAGTTTGCTTTTCCCTACCCTTCATTGGTGGGGGGTAGAAGGGGGCACCTTGTTCCCAAGTGTTATTGTCATTAGAGAGGTTTTAAAACAAGGAATGATGGAAAGAAATAATACAAAGTCTAAATAGTGAGAAGACCTGCTGTTATATCTTATCCTTTGAAGAGATGCACAGGAAAGTACCCTTTTACCAACTGGAAAAATATTTAACTTCTAAGAGAATTATGAAACAGGTTATTCACGTGATTCAAATTATAGTTTCCCAGGGTGTTTCTCCAGTTTATCAAAGCATTTCCTCTTCTGGGCTTTTGTTTTGGCTGTTTTCTTACTGTCATCAAACCAAAACCAAACCCATTGTCTTTGTACGATTCCGACTCCAAATGACCCTATAGGACACAGTAGAACTGTCCCATAAGGTTTCCAAAGCTGTAATCTTTATGGAAGCAGACTGCCACATCTTTCTCTCCCAGAGCAGCTGGTGGATTTGAACAGCTGACCTTTTGGTTAACAGCCCAGCGCTTAACCACTGCATCACCAGAGAGAAACAGATTCCACAATTAGGCTGGTTAGTGAGGAATGTAGGTTTTGTTCTGAGGTCCTGATGCAAAGGCTCAGGCCCAGCTTTGTAAAGGGCCTGGGAACGTGTGTTCTTAGAGCATCTCCGATTTTGAGCTAAGGCTTCAGAACCAACATACGTCATTCACCCAGCAAACTTTCCTGAGACACTCACGTGGGCCAGGTCTCTATTCTAGTGATGAGTGACACAGAGATAAAGCTTCTACTTCTCCATGGGCCTCACAAGCATACAGACAAGGAATCAGATCATTTCAGTATAAACACCCTGGCTGGAAGCATGCACAGGGTGCTGTCTTAGGCTGGGTTCTCTAGTGAAGTATAACCAGTGAAGCTTCTACCTACCTATATAATATGTATATATATATAGAGAGAGAGAGAGAAGGAGAAATTTATCTCAGGAAAATGGCTCACACAGTTGTAGAGGCTGGCATGTCCCAAGTTCATGGGCCGTACATCAAGCCGGAGGCTTTTCCTAACTCATGCAGCTGCAGGGGCTGACGAGCCCAAGGTCACCAGGTGGTGTACCAGGATGCTGGCTTCCACAGATGATGAATCTAAGATCAGCAGGTGAAATGGCAGATTGCTGGCTCACAGGCTGCAAAGGCAATAACTCCATGATCAGCAGGCAATACAGCAGGCCACTGTTCAGCTCCCAAAACCAGATGATGATAAGCAGGATCCAGATCCAACAGAAAGGCCCAGAATTTTCCCAGAATGTCCATATATAGTGGAAGCAGGCTACACCCCTGAGGAAACTCCCTTTTAGCTAATTGGTTGCTCATAGCAGATCTCATCATGGAGGTGATTACATTATATCAGATCTCATCATGGGAATGACTACATCACATCTGCTTAAACCACTTAGAGTCATGGTCCAACCAAGTTGACCCACAACCTTAACTTTCACAGATGCCTAGGGAGTAAGGCCTGGGTTTCAGGATTTCCTTTGATCATTGAAGGACAGTGACTTCTGAGAGACAGGCAATAATGGAAGTGAGCCCTGCAGTTGCCCCAACTTATTGAGAGAGTTCAGCTTGTGGCACAGGCGGAGCCTCAGAAGAGCCCTGAGTTGAGAAGGTAGAGATTAGACCCCAGGGAGACTAAGGCAGCTAGAACTTGCTGGAGGAGAGATGTCAGTTTTTCCCAAACTGAACTATAGATTTAGCTCAATCCCAGTCAACGTCCCAGTAGGAGTTTTTTTGTAGAAATTAATAACTTAAAAACGTGAAGGACCTAGAAGAACCAAAACTACTTTGAATAGGCAATCAAATTTAGAGGACTGATGCTACATAGTTTCAAGACATATAGCTACAGTAGTCAGGACAGTGTGGCACTGGCATAAAGATAGGTGTGTAAATCAGTGGAACAGAAAAAACAGACCTGCATATAGATGGGCAGCTGATTTTTCACAGAAATGCAATTCAGTGGAAAAAGATAATTTTTCAACAAATGCTTCTAGAGTAATTGGATAGCCATATTCAAAAGTAGGAATCTTGATCCATATTTTGTACCAGATACAAAAAATTAACTCAAAATGGATCATTGACCTAAATGTAAAACCTGAAACTATAAAATTTATAGACAAAAACTTAGGAGATAACCTTTGTGACCTTGAATTAGGCAAAAATTTCTTGGAGACACCACCAAAAGTATGATTCATAAGAGGACAAGTTGG